TGGATTGTCCTCAGAGATCACAAAACAGAAAAAAAAAATACGAGAGAACTTGTTGTAATCTAAGGAATAACAGAATCGGGAGGATGCGACAGTCCAAGGAAGAAGAAATGCCATTTACGAAAATGGACGACTTGGGCCGGTACTTCGACCCAGAAGAAGGGATTGAGACTCGATCCGATTTTGGCGTTTCTTAACTGCGGGCGCTATCTGTAGGATCGAACGTCCTCCAAGTGAGAGATGACCTCGCCCTCGGTGAGGGACGAGGTTATGCAAGGCTGTCTTGGCGGCATCAGATGGACCGCCGGTAGGTGAGAGGAATCTATCCTATACCAACACCCAGTTGCAGCTGCAGCAGCAGACCGCTCGCTACTTCTGCTGTCTGTGCGTCGCTACTTCTGCACTCACTGTGGTGCGTGGTTCGTGCAAAGAGCGGCCCGCAGGCCCGCAGGCCCACGGGACACAAAAAAGGGGCGTACGTGGCAGAAAAAGGGGGGTACCCCCATTATCATATGTTCTGCCGGGCCCCCGGTGATCGGCAAAACAAATATCCTTTAGGCGGGGAGTTTCCTTAACGCGAGCCTCCTTAAAGCGGGGTCGACTGTACTGCTGCTGTCGTCCAGTAGCTCGACATGAACAATCGCGTGTGTGAGCGTGTGTGTGTTATCTCGCTCCTCGCTGTTTCCAAGCTCTCTGGATGCTGCTGCGTGCTCGTCATCGACACTCAGTGTAGATTGTCGTTCGAAACTTCGTGCACATAGAGACCAGAGTGGTCTCTGCTGGTTCTATCCTGCTGTGCGCGTGCGGTATTCGCCAGTTGCAGTACCCAGTTCCCAGGCTCCCGACTGGTGTGTGTCGGTCTCTGAACTGGTTGGTTCGAACGTGGTGCGCACAAAGAAAGCGGCGTAACTGCCAAAACTACTCGAAGATAGAGAGGACGCCAAGTAGGCGCCAAGTTAAATGGAAACAGCTGATTGGCGGACGCCAAGTTAAATCTGTCCCGGTGTCTCTTTTCGCTGCCAAGTATGGCAAACATGCGTAGCGCAGACGGAAGCTGCACTGCTGTGCGATGCCATCATGTCAAAGACTACGCCTCATACACTTGGACGACAATGTACGAAGGGTTTTCTCCGGACAATGTACATTACCGGACCCCAGGATCAACTTTGTTTTGTCTACGCGTGATCATTTCGTCTGTCGAATCATGCGTTGGCATCAGCCAACCGGTACTGCTATTCTTGTTGCCGTCTCTCTTACCACAAAGGTCTCCAGGGCCAGGGCCCTCGCCAGTCGGAGCTCTTGCCCCTCGCCGCCCAGCAAGTTCCCGTCACAGTCGACTTCGAACGTCGTTGAGATAACCCTGTCGGCATGCCGTTGAGACTCTCTGTTCCCCTCCAAGGGTTCCGGGGCTTCCACAATCCTTGCTCGCAGCTCTTGGATAATGGGGTCTAAGGCGGCCTCAGGCGTGACAGCAGGGGTAGTCCTGGTGGTGGTGCTAGCCGTGGCGGTGCTCATCATGAGGACGGTTGTGTCGCCGCTTGAAGCCGTTCGCGCCCACGGCAGTCTTCGTGGGATCGCGATGGTGCGGAGCGGGATTGAAACACGCACATGGAAGGCATCCGCAACGGCGAGGATCACCGCCGCGATGGCTAGCACGAAGCGAGCGTTCACGACACGACTGCAATCGGCACGCAGCAGTATGGTGAACGTCATCATGTCCTTCGCGCAAGTTCGAATTCCAAAACGCAAAGCCTTGTGTACGTGTGCCTCTCGCGCTGAGCTCCTCTCCTTTGTACTGGAAGACCCTTCCTGAAGAAGAACGCCACCGCACCGCACACTGCACTGCTGTGATCTTGATCTAAACCCGTTGGGGTTACCCCCCACCCTCCACCTTCCGTGCTTGGCCGTCGTCTATGGGACGACGGTTGGTGAGTTGTTTGAACAAACAGAGGGGGACTCCAACTAGGAATGCGGCACAATCATTCAGCACACATACTCGTGTCGATGCCCAAATATGAAATATGATACATGTAGATATTTTCTTAATTTATTACACAACGAATCCATCTCTATCTAAGAAAAGAGTCTCGTGGGGAGGGGGCGGGGGGGTAGCGATGTTACTCTTCCGACCAATGAAAGTGTTGCATTCGACGCGTCGATTGCCGTTTTTATCAAAAAGGTTGCGACGGTTGCTCGACCGCCCCGTCTCCGCCACACTCTCTCGCTCTGGACGAAATCAATACCAGGCCTCGTACCTCAGGCTCCCTCTTCGAACCTGGACCAGCTCACGAGAGCAAGAAAGAGGGACAGAGAAAGGGAGCGAATGAATTAGGTGGGTGTTCGTGTGCAGCAATGGGAGTTACTGACAAGCATGTGACACGTGAGACGTGATTCATTCTTTGGCACGGGAGAAGCAAACGGGTCCCCCCCTCGCCCTACAGCAGCAGTAGCACGGATACCCCAGAGTGTGGGAAGGCTACCGTCTCACCGTGCGATCACCTGTGTTGAGTCGAAGTGCCAGAGCACGGCGTATCACCGTGCGTGCGTGTGGTACACCAGGAACAACATTTGTGGCAACACAATTTGTAGGTTTGAATTTGAAGTCAACTTATAGAACATCGCGGGACCGCAGCCCGCCGAGTTTGGTTCCAGACGTGCGGGGCTGTGGAGAAAAGGCACCCATGACACCATGACTGCCACCCTTCCGAAGAGGCGACCGGCGTGTCAACATGATTCTCTCCGCACTGGAACGGCTGCCAACCGACATTTCCACCCCACGCCCCCCTGCGTCACGGCTGCATGCGGCGCTCAGCCGGACTTGCTCGTTGTGTTGGCTCGAGATCATCCCGGTCCGACCAAGCCCGCTGTTTACTTTGTAATATATGAGGTCTGGTGTTCGCACTCTAAAGTATTTCCTGGTACTACTGGTGTCTACGTAAGCTATGCATTAATAGAATCTTGGTTGGTGAGTTTTTTCAGCGGGGGATTGTCATCCATCATCCGGTCCGTTGGAAGGAATGTTTTTTTACGTTTCCACCAAAATACAAAGAGTGATTTTCTTTTTTCTGGTCATGGCGGAAGAACATAAAGCGGGGTTCGTCACAAGCGCTCGTCACGCACGTACTTTCGTGAGTGACCACATGGTTGGACATGGTGATGACACGAACGAAATATTCTTGCCCTACGCTCCCTCAACGCTCGTCACCCCCCCCCGTTGGTCATTGCCTCAGAATTTGCTCCTGTATCACCACCAACGTCTCATTAAATTCCTCCCCTTTTGCTTTGTGCTCGCCGCTCCATCTGATCACCAGGAACTTCACTATTAATAACCCACAGACAACGGCATCTCCATTTCTCACGAGCTCCGAGCGTGGCGCGGATCTCATCTCGGAGAAAATGACTTTCACGGCCGTGTCCATAATGATGTCTACTCTCCTTGCGTCTCCGAGGGTAGAGGCGCTTGTGCCTTCATTCGGTGGTCGAGGTAAAAGCCTGAGTCCGGCGGTTTCGCTTCCTGTTGTACAATGATGTGCATGCAACGAAGACGGCAAGTGTGATCGTAGTGTTGAACGAACGGAAGAAGTCAACCGCTCTCGAGAACACCAATTACCGGTCCGATGTAGGCATCTACTTTACCACTGGCAAACATCCGTGAAGGTTTTTGTTTTTTTGCCATGTTTTAAATAAGGTATACAAACGCCTGCAATTTTCCGCTCTTCCCTTTATGGTCTCGGGCAGCAGTTTGCTGATGTTCGGTGCTGTTTGACCACACACCCCGCGCGGGCAGCCGCAACGCTTGCCGACCAACATAACGGTATCATCATGGTCTTATGCTTTTCGCACCTACTGCTGTTTGTTTTTTTATTTCTTATTTTGTCGGTTGGAAGAACGTTGATGACGCATTCTTTTCAAGCCAACAGTACTCGACGCTACGTTGTATCTGTGTCTTATGAGATGGTGAATAGGAACATTGGGTGATCGTTTCAACCTCGGTGTTGCTAACCATGTCTGTGGACGGAGGTACGGAGTCCATGACTTGTTCGCAGATACCAAGAAGATCGGGTATGTCTTACAGATGATGAACTTTCGAGTCACCGTCTCCTAAGAACAACACAGGAAGCGCCAGCTGAACGTTGGTGGCGCCACTGGCTGCACTTCAGTACAATGGTCTTCGCGTCTTTCCATCGATCGCCCATCACATCCTGATCCCTTTTTTGTGCACCCCTCGGTTTCAACCCCCGCCGCAACGACGCAGGCTTCAACATGGTGAGCGCCTTGATCCCCCCGCACGGCAGGGCAGCAAACAGCATCCCCTCCACCACCGCCGGCGGCACGCCGACGGGTCCAGCCCGCGTCTTCGTCGGTTCGGACGGCAACCCGAAACTTTCACCAACAGGCACGGCTGCTGCTGCCCCCCCCTCCGGGGATGCCGATGACGCTCACCGAGAGCGGCAGCACAACCCCACATCGGCGGTATTCTTCGACGACGTCGACGGCCACGCCGAGCCCTCACAGCTCCCGGGCTCCCCGTACGAACAACGAGATCTACCCGCGGGGCCCCCAGAGCCCGGTGGCGGCGTCGACCAGCGTCACCGTGCCCAGCAGCTTGTATCCTCCCAACGTAGCGGCGCCTTGCCGGCGGCCTACCACCGTCCCTGGCGGCAGCGCGCCCGCGACGCGAGACGCCAGACAGTTTTCGAGAACAACCCGGAGGAGCGCTTTGAGGCCGAGGAGGGCGGGGGGGGTAGCCTGGTGGGCGCTAGGAGGAGGCGGGCTTCGGAGAAGGAGGAGCTTGTGGCTTCGCGGAAGGACTCCCAGCAGAAGGCCATCAACAGGGCGGCACTGCCCATCGTGGATCTCGTGGGCCTCGTGTCGCCGCTTGTTCTGATCGCGGGGATGACCATGGTGCACATCGTGCCGTGACGTTAAAGACTTGCTGCGTTGAGTGACTCACAAAGCAGAGAGCTGACTTGTCTTTGGCTTATGCTGCTGAACAAGTAATGGAGTCGATCGGTGGCGTGTGGTGACTGCGTGGATGAATGGCACCCTGGGCAGTGGTTGTCTACGTGGGGGGTTGATGTGTGCCCATGTATCAGCGCATCTGTTGTGTTCTTGCGCGCAATTTGACCTGAGAAGCTGAAAAGGTGGGATGACAGAGCTACTACCACCAAACGGCTACTGCACCCTGGTGTAGCACCTCCTTCTGGAGGTGATGTTGCGGTATAGGTACAGGCGGTACTCGTAGGGTGGTGTTGGTCATCCATGGGATGAGACAAGGCGACTCGTTTGTATGACGGAAGTGCATGTCCGCGGGATACCCGCGGCAGTGTGGAACGTGCTCTTTCGCTTTTTTTTTTGTTATTGTGATGTCGTCCGTCCCTCGTGCTGTTTTTCGCAATTTTTTTTTCTGAGTGTTATGTCGGGGTCCGTCTCCCGCGCTGTTTCAAGCAAGTTTTATGCTTGTTGTAAGACTGTTGTGGACTTGTAGTGGTATCCGTCAATGATGTTTAATGTCGGGGGGGAGAGACGGACCGTCGGTGACGGAGGCTAGCAATAGCGGGCGTTGGCAAAGATTGTTCTATTTGGCTTTGTATCGGGTGATGAGTGGTTGGCAATGCCTCTAGGCCAAAGTTGATGGCAAATTTTTTGTTGATGGAAATCGAGCTTGGATATGTTGACGTTGTGGCCCCCAAGGGTGTTTGAGGGTTTGTCTTTGCCTATGCTGTTTCTCCCATACTATTAGTGAGAGGGAAGACCCCAGAAGGGTCTCTGCCGCAGTACCAACAACGTTGGACGGAGGATTTGGATGTAAAATTGACGGAGGCTTCGATGGCCGCGATTTTGAGATTGTCAAAAAGAGAACATGACAGGGAAGAAAAGGTTTGGAGTATCTCTGTGCAGCACGGGGTAGTTGCTGCGTCTTGTATGTCCTGGCTTGTTTGCGGCAGTCACGCGTCGGTGGGCGCCAGCGTATGGATTGGTTGATGCGACTCTGTGGGTGGAAGAGTGCTCTCTGATATTTTCGTGCTGCTTTGATCATATGTATACAGTATACAGCTGGTGGGTGGTTTTCGTGGGCTGACGTGGAGCCAACGGTGTGTGTGTGTGTGTTGCGTGTGTTGCGTATGTATGTGTTGTTCGGGTCGAGAGGCAATGCGAGCTCCTCGGCGTGTCTACCGAATTGCGTCGTGATCATGTTTCGATTGTTGTTTCTTGTCCTTCTAGTCTACACACCACATGATTTCTTGATCTTGTCGTGTTTTTGATACTGCTGGCTGACTTCCTCCCGCCTTGGGGGGGGGAAGAAGGCAATGATGGTGACGGTCTTCGATGGGGTGGGGGGGGTGTAGGTAGATGCTGCTCTACAGCTCCATCATGCATACATGTCGTTGTTTTCTTGGTTTGGAATGGGTTTGGGGATGCGTGACGTGCGCTCTCTGCCCCCGGCGGCGTGAGGCGGACTTGGTTCCGGCCGTGTGTTGGGTGTCTTGCTTGATGGAAGTAGTCTACGTCCTTACGCTTGTCGTCTAGCCCCTCTTCAGTGATGGCGGAAGTTCATTGTTGCTCAGCATATTTTTTTTTTTGCAGTTTTTGCGGTGAAAAATGTATTCTTATCTCTTGGTCGAATTTTGCTCAAGGAACGGAGGAGAGCGTTGTTGGAAAATCTGATCGTGTGGTGGTGTTTCGTGTACAGCGAGTGGATAACTTCCGTCGTTTCTCATTGTTGTTGTTGTTGTTGTTTCTCACATTAGCTCTAAAAAAAAAAATTGGGAGCCCGTGGTCTCAAAACCCGGCATACACGACCCCACGAAGAAACAGAAAAAAATAGGGTACAAACCTCACTCGGAATAGAAAAAAAATGATAGAAAGAAAGACCAGCTACCGCACCAAACGAGAAAGAGCGTCGAGGAGACCGATCAAAATAAAATAAAAGGAGAACGGGGAACGCTTCCCACATTGTGTGTGTGTGCGGTTTCCGTTTCGATCAAGAATGGGTGGAGGAGAAACAGCTCGCGTGCTGGTGCAATTTTTAATATTTTCGCGTGAATGTTGAGGACAAGATGCTGGGCGTACGAAGTTTTTTCTTTTTTCTCCCATCATTGGATTCTGTCATCTGGCCCCCTTCCTCCACGTCTACTAGCTAGACGACCCAACCGGGGTCACATAGGAGGGAGGGGTTGGACCCCCTCCTGCGGTTCCTGCCTGAGATGTTTTTATCGATGTGGAAGGGTGAAGCGAGAAGGGAGGAAAGAGTGGCAAGTTTGCAGGTTGGTTGGAAGGAGAGAATCGACGCTGCTGCACGATACTACGTGCACATCCGGCGCGGTCCTCCAAAGACGTGTTCGCAGGAGGAACGGTTCGTTTGATCGGAGTTACATCAATTGAAGGAAGTAGACGGGGTTGACAGCTTGATGGGGCAAGCGAGGAAAAGCCCCAATGTTGCTGTAAATCGATTGTGTCATGACGCTGCTAAATAGCGTCAAGGCAACTGGTCAAGGCGACGCTTTGCCCTTTTTAGCCAATATGAACGCTGCTCTCACGTCCGTACGGGCCATGTTGCGTGCTGCCGCCTCCCACAACGGACGTTGCTACCAAGCTGATTTACGAAAATATGTTTCTGTCTGCTGCAGCCGTAGGTGCAGGAACGAACGTGGACCTTCCCTTCCTCATCACGCACGAAACTCCCAATAGTCAATTAACCCCCCGACAATACCAAGCAAGCGTTCTTTGCTGAAAGAAAACAAGTAAACGCTACTTGCTGTACACCATGCAACAGGAAAATCATCAGCCAGTCAACTCAGTTATCAAGATAAAAGGAGCGTTCAGCCTCATAGATCGACAAAGCCGTGGCGCGGGATTTGAACCCTTACCTCAACGTCGTTCTGTCGTTCACATTCATTCCCGACAGTGCAGTCCCTTCTCTCCGTCTCATCCTCTCTGTGGTCGTAAGTTGCCACGATTTCCCCCCCCCCGTGTTCATAACAAGACCCTGTGTATCACGCATTACAATCAACGACCCCCCCCCCTGCCTCCGCATGCAGCACATGATGAGGATGCTCGTTGCATCCCGAACCACCTATTATTCGACAAAAAAAGTAACACACCTAATTAACATCAGCAGTTCTCTCTCACACACCCCCCCCGGTTCCTTTGGGCCTCATCCACAACCACTCATAACACCGCGCTCAACGCCGCACAGGCGACAACGCTATAGGTGTGAAAGCCACAGCAACCACATACCCCTACTTTACATCTCCAAACGATACAATTAGGCCCTTGCTGCCAAACTAACCTCCTCGTGGCGAAAGTTCTAGACGCTTCACACACTACTACGCCACAAGCTACCACACCTACCACTAGTAACTCCGCCCGCGTTCAATTTTCTTGGAAGCAAAGTTTCCGAACGACAGGCCTGCATGGGCAAGAAATAGTTAACTGCTCTTCTCCCTTCACCTGACAACCAACTCTACCGCCGAACACAAACGAAACAAGGAGAGAACCGGAAGCTCGACTGGTGCGACCCGTCATAGCTGAGAAAAACAAACGTTTCGTGCACCGTGTCTCGACCGTTCATATGATCCGTCGTGCTGACATGAAACAGATTCTTCCTTGAACCGGATCCAAGCTTGAACGCTTCAAGCACCGTCGGTCCACAAGAACCACGTACACACCACTCATGTAGTCGAGCCAAAACCGAATCAACTCATCACGAAACCGACCTCAGAAAATGTATGCATATCAACACCTATGGGATCAACGAACTGCTTTGGAGGAAGAAACGGGGAGGGAGCATCATCCAACACCGTCGCAGCACACTACACCACCTACTGCTATACCTTCCTCATGTCTAGCAACGCTGCGCAAACAATGCAGCCCATGAAAACCAAAGATGGACAGATGGGGAAGGAGCATCATTATCCTCCAAACACCGCCGTAGCACGAAGCACCACCTTCTACACTCGAGTCTGATGTCTCGTAACGCCGCTGCTGCGAAAGCAAGCAGCCAATGTATAAACCAAACAAGGAGAATAAGCACGCCAAACACCTGGCGTTTTAACGTTCACACAAAACACCGACTCAAACGCCTGTCACCAAAACAGCCCTCCCACCGTCTCCGCGGAACCAAACATCAATCAAATACATGGGAAGAAAAATGCAGCAGTGCAACACGATGAACGAGATACCCTACTCAATAGGTCAAGTCGGCAGGGAGCAACAACCACCTCGCCAGCTGGCTTGCCTCCAAAACCTTAGCATCAGACGACCCCCACCGCAGCAGCGGAACACTAGCAACGCCTACAGGGCAAACACGCAGCTAACTAACTCCATGAAGCAAATCGGGGTCATGACGAACTTCCTATCCCCCTTTTCTAAAAACAATGGCGACGGAATCTCCAAAAGCTGAAACGTAACTACCGCTGTCGGCGGTTTCTCGTCGGCCCGGGGGGCATGTTCCAAAAAAGGTATCCTGATTCTAACAGCAGCCGCGACAGCAAGTAATTCGTCTGAGATCTTCGCCGGAGAGAGAGAGAGAGAGAGAGAGAGAGAGAGAGCCTCCCATCCATGCGCCGCAGTGTAAATAAAAGCTGAGTAAGCTACGGTGGGATACAATAACCGACACAAAAAACACCACAAAAAAAAGATCGGTGCCCGGATACTCCAATCTCACGGGTCCCCAGGCCCCCAAGGCACTCCACACACTAATTCGCCGGTGCATGCAACGCAGACACACGAAGGGCAGATTTTAATAACTTCTTCAAGCCGTTTCCACGACGGTGTATGTCAGCACTTGGCAATCTACCGACCATGCTACCCACCACGCAGAACACCGGACGTGCCAGGTACTTGGCAATCTACCAGCACACCCAAGAACGCAGAACACGGGGCGTACCGATGAAGCAGCAAATGTTTTTTTCTTTGTTCACCGTCCGCGCCCCGTTCAGTGAGGCCTCGAGCCGGCCGGGGGAGCGACTTTTATCGGCACACGAAACGCACGCTCAAGTCTGCCTTACACGCTTGGTCCCTCCCCCCATCAGTCTCGCGGTGTCGCTCTTACTATCCGGGAAGAGGGATGCGGGCCGTGTGCTGATAATAGCTACACCTGGTGCATGTCCCCGCAGCAGCAGCAGAGATGGTGGCGGGAAACGACGGCGGTATCCATCCATCCATCCGTATGTAGACTATGCGTCCGTCCCATCACAGGAGCGCCATGTCAAGATCCGAGATGGACAGGCATTGCTGCCGGGCTGACTTGTGCCTAACGTTGGTCTCAAACCTGCTTGCAGGAAGAAGGCAGGGAGGCAAGGGGGACGTGAGCGATTATGTATAGCCCTCTTTTTGCCAAGCTTTACGGGAGAGTCAACTCTCAACAGAACGGCCAAATTGTTACCTAAAATACCGGTCAGCGAAGCGAACGGTCGGCGGGGAAGAGGCGAAGGCCTAAAACTCCAAACAGGCACCGTTGACGCACACAAATACAAACCACCCGCCGATTAGTTGCTGGTTTCCCTGCGTCAAACAGCGCGTTGTCGCTGTCGTTACGTAGTTGCGGCTGTGTAAGGGAATGTGAAGCTACATAGGAAAAAACGGTTCTACACGGGCAAGAAAACGCGCGAGAAATCTCAGAAGGATCAACGTCTCTTCTCCTCGCCACCAGTGACAGCAACGCCTGTGCTCTGTGTCGAAGAAGACTCGAGGGATCATAGCAATTCTAACAGGGTCAGCGGTGGAAACGGAAGACAATCAATCCATTGCGAACACCACCTACTTCGGCAGCAGGGACACGTGCAACCGTATCCATCATATCGCGACGGATGGCCGTTAAACCATTTTCCAGCAAAACAGCAACCAGCAAGCATTTTTTTTTCAGATCACAATCAACGCACACCACGGAAACTTTTCAGCAGCAACGACAACAAGCAGATCTAGGCCGGCTTCCCCCCGAGGACGCACTCGTACCTTGCAAGCAAAAACGGATGCCAACTCACTCATCCGTGAAGAAGCAGCCAGTTCCCGACCGCGAGCGGGTGGATGAGAGCGGGGGCGACAGGGGCGCGGTCTCCAATCGCTCTCGGGGTTTAGTCACCAGCAGGAGAGGCGATTGCTTGTCCTGAGATTGCGAAGTACTCTCGTTGCACTCGGGCAGCGACTCGAGCTTGATCACGCGGGACGGGCAGATAGCAGGAGACTTCGAGGGCGCCTGCGTCGACACGCACGTCGCTGCTGGTGGTGCAGCAGCAAGGCTGGCGCCCGCCGCCTCCGCTGCTGCTGCTGCTGCTGCTGCTGCTACTGCTGCTGCTTCCTCTGCCCGAGCTTTCAACCTTAGCTGGGCCTCTCTGGCGCACGCCTTTGCGCACGCCTTGCCCCTTGTCTTTTGCAGCTCGTACATCCGCCAGTTCCATAGGAGCATCACCACGGCAATGGACCCGCAAGTGATGCTAGCGATGATAGGTTCTCCCATGGTTATTCGCTCACACGTTCTACGTCCTTCGCTGTATGTATGTTGTGGGTGTGCTAGGTGGGCGTGTGCGTTGGGTGAGCGCAGGGACCCCAACAAACCTTTTTGGGGTATGTTTGTACGTCTTTCAAACTGCGGCGCCCCCACAGACCTCTCCGTCGAGCCAAGTCACGCCGCACGCATGACAGCACAGACACACGATCAAACGCACACAAGGGTAGAGGGCCTCTTGGCCGACACGATATGGTGGTGAAGACAGGGTCAACGAGCACGGTCCGCTTAAATCTGCACGTCCCTTTTCTTCTACAGCACGTGGAGCGTTATTCAGCAGCAGTGGCCGGTTGGTGCGCAGCCCACTTAAACACGGCGACCACCATCTCCTTCAGGACCAGCAGCAGCCCCACCACCAGCAAGCAGGATCCTCCCGTGCCATGTACCGGCCTCGAGACTCTACACGCCGTTGTGAACGACGACAGCGTTGTTGTCCGAAGCCTGTCCGTGCGATTTCGAAATCCATCAATAACTCCGCTAGGGCTCCAGCAGCAGCCGACTGATGCCGCATGTGCTGTGGCTACTGGCAGCGAAGCAGGAGCAAGCACGGCGCCGCCTACCGCACCAGCCGACCTCTGGGCGGAGCTCGACGTTTCTGGTGTCCGCGCAAACGCCCACGTCTGCGCAAACCCAGTTCTCCTTGCCTCATGGCGACTACTCCTCCCAAGGCTCGTGACCCACTCTCGAAACGAAGCATCGTCCTCGGCTTCTTCGCCGCCCACGCCAATACCTCCTGGAGCAGTTACACTGAACGGAGGAGGTTCTCATGGCGTTGGCAAGGCGACGGGAGTCGGCAGCGGGCGCTACGAGGGGCTGGAACTGCGTGCCTTGGACGCTGTGTATGCCTCGCTGAAATCTGGGGTGAAAGAGCAGGGTTGGACGGGCGACAGCAGTAGTGCTGCTGCTGTAGGGCCGGCGCCTGGGGCCTCGGGGCTCAACGCACTTCCTGCTGCTGTCGTCATGAAAGGTGCGGCATTATATACGCTCGCGTTGAATCGTTGGTTTTGTCGGGTTGCCAACCTCGACCTACTTCCACGGGTCAAACTTGACGATTGCACACCGGTGTCTGTTTCCAATTTAACTCTATGGTTGTGGCCTTGTTGCCCAAGATCTGAAGACCGGTTCCAGAAACGTCCTACAACAATTTCTAGGAACGGTGCGGTGCGCACAGAAGAGGCCAGGTTTGATCACGCGTACGCTTTCACCCCCACTTCTTGAAGGTCACCAATCGCCGACACGGTAAACACAAGGCAAGAGAGAGCACATTTTTTTAGCAGTTCTGTCATCAAGGGGTGCCCCGCCCCGGCTGTTTGACACTCGGGGCTTGGCGGCGGCAGCGCCGCACGTCGTGCGTTCTCGCGTGTTCGCAACGCGCGTTTTTTTATGCCGCAGCCGTAGTCTCTTTTCTCTCCCTTGTCCCGTCTCGTTTGTGGCCTATATGGCAACGACGGCATGCGTGAGCGGCGATCCGGCCTCCGCACCCGCCATAGAGGACAGGACCAGGAGGACTACTACAGTAGTCTAGCGCGTGGCCCTAGGATATGAGCGCACAAAACACTCATCGACCCTTCCTTTTCACGATGGGCGACAACACCAACGTAGCGAGCGGTCATGGCACTGTCTTTTCCCACCCTTACAGTGGAAGAGTAAAGGTACCTTGCAGTGGAATAATAAACAGGGTCACGAAGATACTGCTGTTGCATGCCAACGCAGAGTGGGTGAAGGTTGTTCCTGCAAGCGATGTAAAACCGGAAATAGCGATGCGCGCATCATCCAATCTCCCACCTCTACTTGGCCCTAACGGTTAGGTTAGAGAACCGAGCTATCCAGAACTTGGGGTTAATGGTTAGGGTTGAAACCAAGCTATTCAGAACGACACAAGTCCGGCGCATGTTTATCGACGTGTACACCTCCAAACACAAGAAAAATCTGCAGGCACTTTTTTTTTTCTCCGCCTGCGCGTGTATATATATACTTAAGTATATTCGCCCACTGGTCGTCGGACCAAGATTTTGAGGTCTCGGCCATCTGAAACTAAGCCCACCCCGTCAACGAAATGGGCACTCTGTTGTGCGCTCGCTGCTCTCGATACAACCTTCCCCGCTTGTGGCACGTCCTCCCTCTCGCCGCCGCCGTCACAACCCGCAGTCGCCCAGTACTTGCCCGCGGCATCCTTGGACGCCTTGTCGGTGTCCTGCAAGGGGCAGTACCATACCTGCTCCGCGCTGGTGCCGGGATTGACGCTTGACCTCTTTCCTCATCAGAAGAAGGCAAGGGCGAAATTTAGGGACGATCTGTGTTGAGGAAGCAGAGGGGGGGTTGTTGGTGTTCTTCACCAGGGCGGGGGGAGGGGCTGCCCAACCACATATGG